CACACACACACACACACACACACACACACACATCTACAAGGTAATGCATATGCTTGTTACAGGGTTTCAACAAGGTGATTTTAAGACTTAAAAACGAAATGAATGAACTTTAAGATTTATATCAAGTTCAACAGATTATTCCCAGAATGACCTAAACTTCCCTGTGATGGAAAATTGAATTGTGTTGGACTTGTTGGTAGTTTTATTACAGTGTCTGAGTATTTGCACCACTGAGAAAAACAACACAGTGACAAGATAAACTAAAGACCTTGTACCTAATTATTTAACACATTTACGACTTGTTAAGTTATTGAATTAGAAACTTGTTGCAGAAACTCTGTGTATCACCTTTGCATTAACTTCCATTCATTGTGCGCAGCCTCAATCAAACTTGACCAGGATGTCAGACCGGATGTTTAACCTCATCAGCACCTGGCTTTGGTTCACATGAGGTGTCCTGAAAAGGTCAGTGATGTCGTGGAAAGGTCCTACAAAGTTAACAAAATCAAACACACACACACACACCAACCTAAACCTAACCTAACCTTAACCCAAACAGAAGCGTAACCAAACCTTAAAACATGTAATCACCTTGTACCAACATTCAGGGGCCCACAACAACAGTAATACCTGGACCACACACTAACCTAAACCTTGACCTAATCTAAACCTTAACATTTACCTAACCTGAACTTAGCCTAACCATAACAAAAGCTTAACCAGCAATACCTGGACCACACACACAGTCTGACAGTGCTTCCATGTGCGTCTATTTAAATACACTGGGCTCATTCCATCATCAGTGTGATGGAGTTTTGATGTGAATGTGAATGGAGCCGAGCTCCAGCGGGGCTCACAGCCTCTCTTGACCCGCTGACGGTGACACATGAGGCGGGCAAAGAAGAGGAGCGAGCCCGGGGCCTGGTGGCGAGCAAACACACACACACACACAAGCTTTCCGCGACATTAGGCAGGGAAACCACCTCTTGACTTGAATGAAACGCTCTCGATGTGGAGTGGAGCGGCCATGATGAACACCTGGCGGACTGCGACAACACAAACACACACACACGGGCCCCAGAGTTGTGTGCATATGGCAGCACTCTCCTCCCGGCTCATTAAAACCTCACGGGCTGTAAAAGCTAATTCAGAATGTGTGAATGTCTGTGGAGGCTGCACATTAGGGCCTAAACGGGAGATGAATGAACATGAGGCCCGGAGTCTCCTTGAATCTGTCACCCGTCTCCATGGCGACAGAGGATGAGGAGGAGGATGAAGAGGACCAAAACTGGCATCCACACCCGGGCCCAAATCAACAGATGGCCACCCCCACCCCTCCATCACCAGCACCGGGCAGCAGCAGCAGCAGCAGGCGGCAGCAGCACCCCCTCCCCTCTCCCCTCGACTGCAGCCTACCTTGCACTGCTCCATGCACGTCCTCACCGAATATGCCTCCGGCTCGTATTTCTGACTCAGGAGCTCAAAGTCCTCGTACTTCTCCTGGGCGTGCTGGTCGTAGCGCTGGTACGCCTGCACGCACAGGCTGCACCGGGTCGTGTCGCCGTCGCCGAGCACGTCGAGGCTGCAGTTCAGGTTGTCCGGACTCGTCGAGCCGTAGAACAGGTCCAGCAGCGAGTAGGAGTTACAAAAGGAAAGGTACAAATCGCTCATATTTACAGCCGCCCGCGTCCCCTCTTGGTCGGAAAGGCCCCTGCACAGATGGTCGGCGTCCGCGAAGGCGAAGCAGTTCTTAGATAAACTATCCCGGTGGCAAGTTTCGAGGCGCCACAAATGTTTGGTGGAGTTTCCTATAAAAATAGCATCTGGGTTTCCTCTGAGGCTGGGGTGTGCTGAGTGGGTCTGGGGGGAGAGGCGCACGGAGGAGGAGAACTTGTCCCGGGTGCGGGCCAGTTTGGCCTCGGCGCAGAACCACAGGTGATCAGAGAGCAGGATGGTGAGGAACAACAGGGATGCCAAGGACAGTCGCCATCGCTGCGCCCTCTCTGAGTCGGTGAATGGCTTTTGGTTGTCTCGGGGGGGCTCTAGCCAGATTTGGAAGCCGTCGTCATCTTCTTGCTGCCAACACGTCCCAGCACCCCTGGTCATATTTTGGGAACCGGCCACCGTGGGGGCTCCTCTGCCGCAACAGTCATTGACGTGGGGTCCGCTCCGCGTTTGCCTCCCCTCGGGTGTCGGGCGGTGGGTAGTCCCGGCTGGCCTTCGCGATCACCGGTAATTCCCATGAAAAGGAGCGGGGCTCGGATGGGGAATCAGGCGCTGGCGACCACGGGCCGCATCCTCCATGGCTGACCGGTGAAGCCGCTGTCCTCCTCTGCGCGTCGTTTTCACAAACACTCCCCGACGCCTTTACGTTTCCCCCGGCCTCTGTCGTGCGCTGCCCTCCTCCAACATGGCGAAGCGGTTCTCCTGTGGTGTCGGCGGGTGGGCCCGCAGCCTGTGACGGACCTCCTCTCGTCTTCAAGCCCTCACCGTCCTCATATCGACGCCGTTGTCAATTTGCCACCATGTTCGCCCAGGAACCGTGTGTTCGCAGGAAGCTGTGTCAGGCCGGCGGAAAATAACCCGCTGCGCTTCCGGTGCGCGCCTTCACAATAAAGAGCGCAGGGAGCATTTTGTAGCCTCGTGTGAAAACCAGGTTCTCTCCTGGTTATCACAAACTATAAGCCTGCTCTGATTTATTTATTAATGAATACGTATATGTGTAAATTCATAGCATACTAAATAGCTGTACAGTATATG